GCCACAAGAAGAATAAAGTTGGAGTTAAGTCTTTAAGGATGAGAAAAGTAGCGTTTGTTAACAGTGAACAGCTACTCATTCTATACAAGGAAGGTGAAGAGGGGAGCTTTTACAGTCGAGTTGCAGGGAGACAGAAAACAGTAATTGTAGACGCTAAAGAAATCAACAACCTTTCTAGAAACTTAGAAGGTAGGGAAAGAGTGCAGGCAATTTTTAAAATCCTTTTTAATCTTCTATATAATAATTCTAAAAAGCATTAAATTTTCATCTTTACAAGATAAACAGATACAGTTTCTGAACAAATGTTAACTGAAAATTACTGAATAATCACTATGAACCAGACTGTGAAAAGTGAAAATAATAACCACTTCTTTTTTACCCTGTTTATGGTAATTAGCTCAAGCCTCTTAATGTATAATCTGGTTTTATTGGCAAAATAATTTATTTAGGAATGTTTTTAGGAATTTTAGGTAATGGCAAAACAACAATCAATCAGAAAAAGAAAATAAGCTCTTTAAGAAATTTAAGACCCTGAGTAAAAAATGCTGTGTATATCATGAAAACTAAAGCTCTTATAGGACAGGGAGGTCATGGAAAAGGAGTACTAGATATCAGAATCATCCTGGAAGCTTTTCCACAATACACCTGTCCATACTAACCTCAATCTTAGCCATAATTTCCAAAGCGAAAAAACATGCACATATATAAAATTCCCAGGTAGTTATGACACCAACTTCCCTCTTAACAATTCCTATTGCCATTGGAGAATAATGAACTAAAGACTTATCATTGATATTAATAGAGAAAGATAATTAAATAAGACAGAATTATTTTGTGCTTGGACAAGGCAAGAATATCAGGAATACGATCAGCTGACTGGAATTGATACAAAAACATAATTATTAATGGAACAACCATATGAAAAAGAAAGGAAGGAGGAAACATGGGGAAAAGGTGTTTTTGTTGTTTCCTTGAAAAACAACTCAGGAAAGAAAGAAACTGTCATCACATAGGAAAAAGGATCATCAACAAATACATAATTTTTGTGCACATAATACTGATACTAAATACAATTTAAATCAAAAAGGACACAATCTTTGTTTATTTTGAGCACACGATCTAAAATAACAGACAACACAAATAACATAAGACATATACAAATAACATTTACAGAGATATTTTCATATAGTTTTCAAACTTTAAAGAACTTTTTATAATACCTATATTGAGAAGATAATATGAATAAGGTTGAGATAACAAAGATTATGAGAAGAGAAGACAGGATGAGATGAAAATAAGAAAAGAGACAGATTTGACTGAAGAAAGCTTAGAAAGGAATGTACGTCCCAGGATCTCTTCAGATTATCAAAATATGATCAATTCAATACTCTTATGGGTAACACTGACAGATGGACATGAAGGGGACAGGGCCGCACCAGGTATGAGACGATGCTAAACTAACCTGGTGTCCAATTAATACATCTACTGTGGGTTTTGAATCAATACAATCTCAAAATTCCATTAGGCATAGTGCTAAGGCAGAGTCACCTGAAAGCCACAGAAAGATGTTACCATCTTTCTGGATGTAGGCAATACATTCAGAAAATGATCAAAATCTATAATCAAATACTCTGGTGCAAAGAATTTACTTGTTAATATCAGAGTTCAATAAATAAAGTCATCAGCACTACCATTTACTAAGTGCTTTTTGGACTATGGTAAACAATTTACACGCATTATCATCACATTTAATCAATACAACCACCTTTTTTTATTTTAAAGTTTGACACCTGAGCTAATAACTGCTACCAATCTTCTCTTTTTTTTTTCCTGCCTTTTCCCCCAACATGCCCCTAGTACATAGTTGTATATTCTAGTTGTGGGTCCTTCTAGTTGTGGCATGTGGGACACCACCTCAGCATGGCCTGACAAGCAGTGCCATGTCTACGCCCAGGATCTGAACCAGCGAAATCCTGGGCCGCTGAAGCAGAGCATGCAAACTTAACCACTCGGCCACGGGGCTGGCCCCTCAACCACCTTTTGAGGTAGGTAGTTACAATCCATATTTTGCAGATGAAACTGAAGGTTACAGAAAAGAAGTGATTTGCCCAAAGTCACATAGCCGTAAGTAATACAAAAGAGGCAGGAAGTAAGGCCAGGTCTGATACCAAAACCTGAGGTAACAATAGCTAAAGCCTATTCAACATTTTAAACTCAAAATACTTTGGAAGCACTTTGGGATGTTTAGGGTTTAACACAACAAAATGTGTCCAAAGTAAACTTTCAAACATGTAATTACACCAAGAAGATGGAAGGGATTTCAGCAACGCCTCTGAGTAGGTCTGGGTAAGTCTGTAACTAAATAGTGAAGTTATAAACTCAGGGTCAGTTAGAGTCCACGACAGAATACAAGTCAAAAGTCCACCCAAGATATTATTGGTAAGTTTCAGATACGAACAACAGAATTCAATCAAGGGTACCAATGACATTAATGCTAATACCCAGAAAGTCATTATACAGCTGTGAAAGAGGAAAGCTCAGACATCAGTTTGATTCTTTCATACTAAAGCAAAAATAATCCTTAAACACAGAGCGGGAGTAGAGGCTCATCCAATATTCTCAAATTTCCAAGAATAATTCTCCCTAATCTGTTGGGTGGTGGGGCTGCCAATAACATTGCTTTTCTTGGCAGTGCACATAGATAAGCAGAAATGAGGGACTGGAGTCTTCAGAGATCTGTGCCTGTACCCGAGAGGATATGCAGGGGCCCCTGCCTTACATGAAACAGAGCTACTTTGCCTCCATGACCTTGTAAATGAGGCCATGGTTTACAGAACACAATCAGATATTCCTATAGGCAACTACGATAAGTACAAAGTAAGGAAGTCAAAATTCCACGTTTTTGGATCTCAGGCTTCTAAATTAAGACTACCACAGATAAACAACTCTTCTTCTCTGCTACTTGCAGGCCTATACAAGTACAAATGTGTTCTGCTTAAAAAATACAGCATACAAGCATTAAAAAGAGAAGGACAACAAAACTATCTGTAAAGGAAGGCCCTTCCCTTTATACTATATAAAGTTAGCATCTGAAGATAAATTATAGAACTGAAAAAGGTAATGGAGCAAGATCATGTCCACCTGAATCACATAAGAGGTAAAGAATGTAGAGACTATCCATGAAAATAGGGACTAAAGAGTCACACTGAAATGGTATTCTGTTACAAATTTTTCAAATGTAGGAGGGGTCATTTTTACACCTGTGTAGAAAAAGTGATCTATATACAGGGGGTGTTCAATAATGTTATTAACACAAGCCCATGATGAAAAGCTTTCATAATAAAGAAGAGGACAGCTGTAAAATATACATTAATAAAAAGTTTCTTGGGGGGGCCTGACCCCGTGGCCTAGTGGTTGAGTTTGGCACATTCCACTTCAGCAGCCTGGGTTCAGTTGCCAGGTGCAGACTTACACCACTCATTGGCGGCCATGCTGTGGCAGGTGACCCACATCTAAAGTGGAGGAAGATTGGCACAGATGTTAGCTCAGGGCCAATCTTCCTCAGCAGGAAAAACAAAGTTTCTTGGAAGCACAGTTAATTCCGAAAATTAAGGGAGATTTGGAAAATTGGGAAAGATTCTCAAATATCTTTTATTTGAAAAAGAGTCAAAGGAAGCCAGCCCTCACAAGTCAGCAGTTAAAGTCTGGCACGCTCTGCTTTGGTGGCCTGGGTTCGGTTCCCAGGCATGGAATCACATCATTCGCCTATCAGTAGCCATGCTGTGGTGGCAGCTCACATAGAGGAACCAGAACTTACAAGTATATGCAACTATGTACTGAGGGCTTGCAGGGGTGGGGAGAAGGAGCAAGAACGGTGGAAGATCAGCAACAAATGTTAGCTTAGAGCAAAGCTTCCTCTGTAAAAAAAAAAAAAAAAGAGGGAGAGAAAAAGAAAGAAAATTGATCTTTATAAAGACTGATGGAGAGTTTCAACACATGCATAAGAGGGAACAAGACAGGGGAAAGGACAAGAAATTTTTAAAAAAAGAAAAAGAGTCAAAGGACATAAAGCAGATGATTAAACAGTGCAAAGCATTGTTCCTCTGAAATTGTAAACAATTAAAGGAAGATATTGTCAAAGAAACAATGAAGGCCTAATAATGAGAAAACAATGCAAAGGAATACAGGTGATTCTATATGGAGCTTAAGAGACAACTTAGGAAAATACTAACTTGGAAAATTGAAGCAAAAAATTTATAAATACTATAATCTAAAGAACAAAGAATACAAAATTAACACCTAAATCTCAGAATAGCCTGAAAATTTTTTATGTGTTTCTATCTAACCAAGGAGATCAAGCAAGAGGATGTAGACAGGTCCAGCACATACGTGTCCCTGGAAACATTCAAAGCTTTTGGTGGTCCTCAGAGTCACATTTCTAAGAAAGGAGAGTCATTTCTAATAATGCTCAGGGCTACAATCACAGAAAACTGTCCTTAAGAACCTGTGAGACTCACTTCTAAGTTTAAGTTTTGCTCATTATACTAAAAACAGGCTTGATGAGAAAGTATAATGACTAAGGAGCACCCATCCACTGAGGCTCTATAGCTTGAGATCTAAATTTGAGACTACTTTTCTAGTGCTGGTAGGAGACCAGTAATGGAGAAGCTCTAGAAGGGAAAGAGTTGGGGTGGGTTGGGGGAAGGGACCTTGATGGAGAACTCAGTTAATGGAAATTAGAAAATACAGGTTATCAAGCATTCTCTTTCTTGAGACTAAAAATAGTAAAATATATATAAATATAGTAAACATAGGTTTACACAAAGTAAACCCATCTCCAGCTGAAAAATATACAATGAAGAGGAATGCTCCTCTTTGCTACATTAAAAAAAAAGTTAGAATAATGCACAGTAAGACAATGAACACTTCCCGTTTGGTTTCTTGCTATGAGGAATGAGCTGATGGTGGTCCCCTTTGTCCTTGAGGACCACCAAACCTACCATGTGGTAATGTTATGTTTGCACCATCAATGATTGCTTGTGCGAGTTCATGATCATTGCTCTCAAAAGCATGTGCTGCAGCCTTCAAAGCATCCCAAATCTCTTTACGGCCTTCAAAAGCTGGGGCAGTATCCCAAAATTCGTCCCTCTTGCTGCGCAGTTGTCCATCTGTCATCGGATAATCGCTTTTCCATTTGGGTTTCTCCTTTTTCAAAGGCTGGTTACGACCTAAAGCAACTGAGAAGAAAAATAAAAGGCTGACATCAAAACCAAAATTTACACAAGATGTATTAAAAGTTACCTGGTCATTCCTCTTTGATTCTTTCATCAAAATTATAGCTACAAGTTGGCCTACTAGCTAATTCTTGCATTCTGAAATTCCCCTAACCTATTTTAGAAGTACAAGAGCAAAGGCAGACATTAGATGGCTCCACCCAAAACTTCCAGTGAAGTTAGTAACTCTTGTCCACACACTATCTGCCTTCTCCAAACGATGATTTAAAAAATTACCTAGAAAAACAGTAATAAGTGTTTCATCAGACAATAGCGGCCGGATTGTAAGAGTCAAGGGATGCCATAAGAGAGAGGTGAGATACTAGGAAAAACCAAATGGCAACAGTAGCTTCAATCTCAGAACCTTAGACATACGAAGCCAGCAAGCAGGAGCTAAGAAATCCCAACGACGGAAAACACTGCTTTGCGGTGATCAGAGGAAGCACAGCTAAACCACCAGCTCCACGAGGAGACCTGATCACAGCAATGCCTCCTCTAGCATCCCCCCTGGACTTCAGTCAAGGAACCGTGAATGCCTGTCTCTGAAACTCAAACAGGAGCTCATTTAGAAAGCAGTGAGGGAGCGGAACAGCGTCAGTGCTGCACTCTTCGGAGGAGCTAGGATTGGAACAAGGGACTCTTGATACTGGGCCAAGGGAGAAGCTCCCGACCACAAGGAGCAGAGGCAGCACAACATACTACTGTAGTTTCACTGCAAGCAAGGAAGAAAAGAGAGGGCAAGAGTCCACTCCTGTCTGCCCTAAGCGGCAGCAGAGCTCCTTAGAGAATGTTACATGGCAGGAGTGCTCCAACAAGTCTGATGCAGTTCTTTGCACCCAGATACTTACCTGGCATATGATCACTGATCTCATGCTGACATACGGAGCCACAGATAAGAAACAGTTTGATAGATGGAAGAATAGGTAAAAAGAAAACTGAAGTTCGATGGAGTGATGGGTTAGGAGTGGGTGGGAAATAAATGACAGAGCAGGTAGGAAGGAGAAGGTGTGTGTCAAAATTCAATGTTCTATATTTAATTGAAGGAAGAATACTAATATAAAAGAAATTACTCTCAAAATGGTTCTAAAGAATCCACGAAATTAACCACTCCCTCACGGGCCCAGGGCCAAATGAAATTTGGGCTATTCACAACAGAAATTTAAAAAAATGACTCAAGCCCCTGGGCAATCTCTTACATCCTATAGCAGGCCACGTTCCCAGTTGGCAGGACCAACTAATGCTGCAAAGTATATGTGGTTCTACACTTAGCTTAAACCCTGCTTTTTTATTTAATTTTTATTGAGTTAATGATAGGTTACAATCTTGTGAAATTTCAGTTGTACATTATTGTCTGTCAGTCGTGTTGTAGGTGCACCCCTTCACCCTTTGTGCCCATCCCCACCCCACCTTTTCCCTGGTAGCCACTAATCTGTTCTCCTTGTCTGCATTTTTAAATTCCTCCTATGAGTGGAGTCATACAGAGATTGTCCTTGTCTATCTGGCTTACTTCACTTAACATAATTCTCTCAAGGTCCATCCATGTTGTTGCAAATGGGACGATTTTGTCCTTTTTTATGGCTGAGTAGCATTCCATTGTACATATATACCACACCTTCTTTATCCAATCAGCAGTTGATGGGCACTTAGGTTGCTTCCATGTCTTGGCTATTGTAAATAATGCTCCAATGAACATTGGGGTGCATGGGACTTTTGGAATTTCTGATTTCAAGCTCTTTCGATAGATACCCATAGTGGGATAGCTGGATCGTATGGTAGTTCTATTTTTAATTTTTTGAGGAATCTCCATAGTGTTTTCCATAGTGGCTGTACCAGTTTGCATTCCCACCAGCAGTGTACGAGGGTTCCTTTTTCTCCACAACCTCTCCAACATTTGTTACTATTTGTTTTGGTTATTTTTGTCATTTTAATGGGTGTAAGGTGATATCTTAGTGTAGTTTTGATTTGCATTTCCCTGATGATCAGCGATGATGAACATCTTTTCATGTGCCTATTGGCCATCCGTATATCTTCTTTGGAGAAATGTCTGTTCATGTCTCCCGCCCATTTTCTGATCGGGTTGTTTGATTTTTTGTTGTTGAGTTGTGTGAGTTCTTTATATATTATGGACATTAACCCTTTGTCGGATGTATGACTTGCAAATATTTTTTCCCAGTTAGCGTAAACCCTGCTCTCTTCACCCAATCTGGCTACTTTACCTCAAGGCAGCACACACCAGGGCTCATCCTCTCACCTTCAGAGGGCACAGGATGCCACTGCTAGCTGTTTGTCTCTGAGAACACTCAGTATTTTGACTCATTGTACTTTTTGGCTCTCTAACTTGTTCTAGTGAAATGCAAACCAGCTGAGTTCTAAGAGAGTGTGTACAGCACAGTAGGAAAACTGTCTATTTAGTAAGAGAGCTGGAAATAGAACCCATGTCTCCTTATTTAACAAGTCTTTACTGCGTGTCTACCAAGGGTCACCTTATAGATCTGGATATCAGGTTTAATTCAAATATGAGAAATATAATCTATGCTAATGACTTTTCCCTGCATCTTCCAAATAACACACATAAATTCAGATAAAACATTATTCTCCAAAAAGTATTCAGAACACATCAAATAATCACAATTCACCCCCTACTGATTCCACCAACAAGGTAAAATGAAAGGTAGATTTTATTTTCTGCTACATTAACCTTTAGATGAGTCTGAAACAGTTTAGGGACGATACTCAGGATTAGTGTACTGAGCAGGGAGTGGAAGGCAGGACACGATAGCTAGATGTCTCTTTGAATAAAGTTTTGAGTCTACTTGAGTAGTTCCAGAGAACTGTCTAGCATCATATGTATTAAATGTACCACTGTATAATTCTGTCATGTGAGAAAATCACGAAGAAAAGGCAAAAACAACAAAACCTCCACAATCTCAGTACTTAAACCAAAGAAATTGAAGAAGCCTTGAAATAGGAACTCAACAGAAAAACAATCTCATAATAAACATAGAAAATACTTTGGAAAAGGTAAAAGCACCTTCCTTACAAATAAGACGTAGCTTTATTTCACCTCCCTCCCTCTGTAGAAGGCATAGGAACAAAGTGTCATAAAAAGGAGAGATGATGAATTATGCTGCTTAAGGATAATCATCATTCCAAATCCATTTTCAAATCCATGTGCTGTCAAAAGTTCCAAAGTAATTACTTTGTGCAAAAAGTATGACAAAATAAATGCTCGTGACACGAAGTAAGCTTACTTTTTTATCTATGTCTCTACTTCTCCCTATATCACAAACATATGTAATACAGACTATCTGCCTATCAAATGTCCATTATTAAAATACTTAAATCTTTGCAACATAAAATATTTTAGTGAAACCACTAAGCAGTGCAGAATTTTCACTACAAAACATGAGGTTAAAAGTTTCATGTTAAACTAAATGCAGTTATTGCCTAACTTACCTTTGTTAAATGAACTAACTGGAAAAAAAACGGACACTTAGCAAAAGCATTTAAACTATGCTCTTGTGAAAACACGAAAATATTTACGGTCGTTATGGGGATTTATAAGTTAATACCTGTACAGCACTTACAATAATAACTGATACATAATAAAACTACAAATAAGTGTTAAGTAAAAATTAATTTGGAAGTACTATATGAAATCAAGAATCTTTAAACATTTTTTCAAAAATATACAGGTTAAGTCTTTTTTCATAATTTCTCAACAGAACCTGACATTCCGCAAATTTAGCACAAAGTACCTTCCTTAACTTTAGAAAGACCTGCTCCATGTCATGTACTTCCTGTACATTTATTTGAGCACATCTTCTAGGAATCTGCTCACCAAATCTTGCGTTTTGATTTCAGCTCATATCACAAACCTGTATTTCTGAAAACACTTGGACACAGAAACCAGCCTAGCAGTTAAGTAGCTATGTTTGCACCAAGTCAACCATTTTCAATTATGAAGAAATAAATGTAAAATATGTATACTCAATTAGATTATACTTTATGCTCTGAAACTTTCAGATTTGTCTGTTTCACACACCTTTTGACTCGTGATATCAAGAGAGATGCTCAGTATCATTCATATATCTAGGACTAAGTCCTATGCTCTCACAATGAATTTAAAGACAGGAAATAGATCTTATTACCCTAATTTCAGTTTCTAAATCTAAAAATTGCAAGCAATCAATATACTTAGTTTTATTCCATGGTTTAACATAGAAGAAAAAAGAGATTAATTAAAAAAAACTAACATAAAAAACCAATCTATTTCACAAAATACTCTTTTCTTCCTATCAACCCACATTTACTAACTTTCAAAACTTGGCCCAAAACTCACCTTCTTCTCAGAAGCCTCTTAATCTCATTTATCTACTCCTTATCTTTCCTTGTAACCTTTCAACACGTCTTCCCATTCTGTGACAAATAAATAGATGTAACATGCAGAAAACTCAAGAAAGCTTTGCTTCTCAGGTCTAAATAACAACACAGTCTTAAATATTTTTACTCCACAATTGAATGCATTTTCCAAAATCTCATTTTGACATTTTATTGATAAAAACAGTGATCTCCAAAATGAAGTATGTTTATAGTTGTTTTCCTGATTTAATAATAGGGCTATCCAAATGAAAAGAGAAGAGGCCATAACGCATAGACACGACTCAAGTAACAACAGCTTTAACAGACTGAAAACTGGAAGCATCAGTTTCCTTAACACAACAGCCTGAGGGGAAAAAACCTGAATATTTAGAGATCACCATCAAAAGACAAAATATTGTTTCAAAGAATTCTGAAAACTTTAAAGCAGCAAGGAACAGGACTGGGATAATGCCTTATATTAATTAGATTGATTAGATTCTTAAGATCATGAGAATGAAAGCGAAATTTTTCTGTCACTCCAAGAGTTAAGAATAGATCCTACAGAACTCTTCCATAACAGATTGTGCTAGCCTAAAAGGATG